TTCGATGACGGCCGAGCTCTACTCCAGGGTCGAGCAGGGCATAATATTGGTATAAAGTGACTTTTTCAAGCCCCTGGATTTCAAAGTAGTTGGCCCATAGCTTGACTTTCCTCTCATTCGCATTGTTATATCCTGGTCTAACAATAGGTTTTGAAGGAGAATCACGCAGGGATAGATTCATGAGCTTTGTCTCGAGCGTAGAATCTCTTTTTGCAACCACGCTGTCTTCTAGGCTCTTCAATTTTTCTGACAGAATATGCGGGCCTCCACTAATTAGGACGAGTTAGAAGCTGGAATATAAAAGGCAAGTTAAAGGGCCGTACTCGTATATCTCCGGTGCCCGGCTCCCGCTAGGGGAGAAGGATGTACCTTCAGAACCGTGTCCGCCTCGAGGGGGAAATGATCGCCCTCTTCCTCGATACTCTCCTCTCCCACGAGATCCACTGCGGCCTCTGTGCCCACCCCTAGGGAATGAATGATTATTGTGAGAGCCTCCATCATCTGCACTGAGCCGCCTTCGCCAATCTCTTGTGTTCATTTTGATGAATGTGGAGGCAATCTTTTGACTAACACAATATTATTAGACATGTCAACTAGCGGTATGGCTGGCGGGTTGTGGAACTCAGGATAGTTTTATAGTAGTACGCTGTAGTACTTGATGTTTGCCATTGTCTATTGCGCAAAGACAAACATTCAATTCAAGGGCCTGGTATCTTAGATAACAAACAGTTTCTCCGTTAGAACCTTTGGCTATTCGATTAATAACGAAGAAATAAGTGGTTGGTATATGCTTATATTCAATCAGGGGTATCAAACGGTCATTGTTATGATTGTTATGCCACGGTGGGAAAACATGGTATAACCTGCTTCGCAGAAAGCCATTTGCTAATGTGATATAGAACTGTGTAAAATGAACACAGTTCCGTTTTCAAAGCCCTCCTCCTGTAGTTACAATCTTGTATAGAAAGGAGCTTGGTGCCGGCCGAACGGTTTTGAAGGCCATTTTGTGACTATTATTTGATGTATAATAGCGTCGGCAAAGGAAAAATTGGTGATCATGAGGTAACAGATGTCGGTGTTCAGCAGTATACTGTAGACAGGTTGTAATTAATCTGGACGACAGGACGGTGTATTCAAATAAACAGTCTAAAGATAGTGCTAAAGGGGACTTTTTTATACACGGAGGGCAGGAAATTACTCGCCATCGCTAGAATCATCCTCGGCCATACTATCGTCTTCGTTGTCATCGGTGATGTTTTTCTTTTTATTCTCCCGCTCTTGCGCTCGGCTGCTTTCCAATAGCTTTGCTCGTTCGGCTCTTTGAATTCGTTGAGTCTTGACGAAAGCGCCCAAAGGAGTCGTATCCCACTCAGTTTCTTTCAAAAATCCTTCCACCTCCGCCCGGTTCCTAGGCGCAAATGTAATCTTTGCCCTTCGCTCTTCAATCCAGCGGCAGTTTGCCTCAATCTTCTGTACCAAGAGCAAGAATATCTGGGATACTTTGGGATTCTTGTTCCCTGAAGAACGAGACGAAACTTCTTTGAGCCAGCGTTTGAGCATCACTACAACTGGAAGTGCAAGCTCAGGGAAAGCAATGTTCTTGGTCCATAGGGTGAAGTATTCTGAAAGGAGTTCTGAAACCTCTTCAGCTACACCATCTTGATATACCCGGGTTCTCAGATAGGATTTTGGTGTACGAATAGTGGTTGAAAAGTCTAGTGGTCGTAATGTGCTCGCCTTTGGAGGCTTTTTCATCTCTGCAGAGTTCAAAACTTCTAATAGAGCGGATGACAGAGGGATGTAGGTTCCGGTAGAAAGGGACAAGCGGAGAAGAGATCGTGTGAGTTGGAAACGAAGAGGAAAATACTGGGCCGTAGGTATGAGACGCATAGCTCCAAGGATAATTTGAACGACAGGGTATATCAAGGGGCGGAGTGCACATTGTTTTCCCGCCTTTGCTTCTACCAAAGGATCGCAATGGGCTGCCAGAACTCTGGACCAAAAATCCAATGAGTGTACATACTGCCAGTTGTAGACAGCCTTGTACGAATCCTTGGTTGGATTGGTAATACTACCCCTCAAATGGATAGCGAGCTGTCGAATGAAGGTGAAGCCTGTTGTATAAGCAATATTCTGATCAATACCCCAGAGCTCTGCAGCAGAGTTCTTCATCAGGTTTATACCAGGAAGGGTGTGAACTGAAGTGTTGCGACTGCCCTTAACAACACCCTCGTAACTGGCTTTCAAAACTCCTTCTCGAATTCCAGCGTCCCCAATAACCAGGAGCTTCCTCAGTATCAAAAACGCAGTGATACGTGTAACCTCTGAGTTTGAGGCTTCCGACCAGTGTCCAACAACTGTCTTTATTAGGACTTTTAGCAACTTTCGGAATTGTAAGATGTATGGAAGCATTGGCTCAATGGCAGATATTGTAAGCTTCAGAGCTGCGGCATCGGAGAGGGTGGTGAGAAGCTGGTGAATGGAAGACACATGAGATTTGATTAGTGGCGTCAGAGTTTTGAACTTCTTTGAATCGAGAGCAACTCTTATTTTCCCACCAGCTGTCTCCTTGACTGGCAAATGGTGATTTAACACTTTCGGCACTTCCTCAAGTGCGGTTATCAGGACTTGGTGATATACATCCGGGTCAGATATGGTGTATTTTCGGTCTTCGTTGTCCTCGTCATCAACATAGGCGGCAATACGGAAAGCTAGTACAGCTTGTCTTGTTGCTCGTAGAGAATGTTGTAATAACATTGATTTCTGCCACTGTTTTACCATTGGCATCCTGAGCGTCTTGTCTAGAGTCAGGTCTGTTTCTTCGCGCTTCTTGGACTTTTTGGACTTCTTTGCGGCGGGAGCCTCTTCTTCTTCGGCTTCACTTAGCTCGTCCACCTCAGCAAGATCACCATGATCTCCAAATTCCAAAAGTTCAGCATCGTTCTCTTTAAGGTATTTGTAAAATTCGGGGTCCTTCTCCTTTAGAGCCTCCAGTTGGTCCTTGTGAGCCTCCAGGTTGTCCGAGTCGCTCCCATCAGACTCTTCGCCCGACTCCATTTCACTCTCCTCATTGTCGCTTCCATCTTCTATTTCGACATCCTCCTCCTTCTCCTCCGCACGCTTCCGTTTACCGGTCTTTGGGGCGACGTCCTTCTTCTGTTTCTTGGATGATTTCGTAGCAGCCGGTTCATCTGCAATTTCAAAACCGCCGGCGAAAAAGTCGTCTACGGCCATATCTGCAAATGCAGCGTCCTGCTGGGCATCGGAAGTCGTTTTCTTCTCATTTTCCTGTCTGGCAGCTTCTTCGAGCTTTGCTGCATTTTTGGCCTTCTTTTTATCTTTGACTTGATGGCGCTGTTTGACCTTTGAAAACTCTCGTCGCCGGTCAATTGTATCCCTAAGATGGTTCTTCTCGAACTTCTTAGTTGACTTCTTGATTCCCATTTTGAATGACCCCAGCAAATCCCTTTGCGACAGCTGTTGGCAGCAATCTGTCGGCTTTTGGTGTGAGTCGCGGTTTTCATGAATTTTTCTTTTTTTATTTTTATCTTTTTTTTACCTTTTTTTGACTTTCATCGACAGGCAGGAAAACATGTTTGCATCTGAATCAAAAATGCCAAGACAATAGCTTAACTGCACGGTCCTTGCGGCGCTTCGTCACAACGACAAACAAGCATCAAGCATCCAAAGGCAACAGAAATAACTACAACCAGCGGCAGAGCAGAGGGTGTACAGCGATCCACCAGCAGAGAGGAGCAAGATGTTCTCTCAGAGACCACTATCGTATGCGCCGACGCCTTACAGCTATACTCCAAACACAGCACTATCAGCCACCATCAGCTTGGACGAGGTGAGGAGTTAGTTCCGTCGAGGTCGGGGTTGATCTACTAACTATATAGCAGGAGGTTAAACCGTTTTCCTCGCCCGCCGAGAGAGATTTGTACGAGTCGCTCGCAGAAATATATAGCATTATTATAACGTTGGACGGGTTGGAGAAAGCATATATCAAGGATGCGGTTACGGAATCAGAGTACACAGAGACATGCGCTAGGCTACTAAAGCAATATAGATCCATCCTCAGCGATGATACCGTGGCCACCGAATTCGTTGATTTAGACACATTCAAACGTGCTTGGGAGGTATGTTATACTTATAACTATAGGCCATATGACACTAACCTAACAGTACCATCCAGATGGAATGTCCACGCGCCACCGAGAGACTACGCATCGGCCTTCCTGCAACAGTCGAACAACCCTCTCATGCAATCTCCCAGAATACAGCTACAGGACCATCGGCATCCGGAAGCCTTATACTTACTGCCACAGAAAACTTCATAACTTTCCTTGATGCACTGAAGCTCAATATGCTCTCTAAAGATGCGCTCCATCCGCTCTTGTCAGAAGTTATTCAGTCCGTGAATAAAGTGACCGAACAAGACTTCGAAAATAGAGGAAAGATAATCCAATGGCTTATCACGCTAAATCAAATGAGAGCTACGGAAGAGCTCAGCGAAGAGCAAGCTAGAGAGTTAGCATTCGAAATGGAGCAGGCATATCAAGGATTCAAGGCGACTCTAAACTGATACAAGCTAGCCTTATACCCTCTATATCGGAACCCCGCTATTATTGGATAGGACACTTCTCTGCCATTTACAGGCAAATTATGCTTATCCAGGCCCAGGCTTTGCCATTGCTCCATCTGGTAGAGCCGGAATCAGAGTATCCTCCAGATATAAACACTCAGCTCTCATCTGCCGCCCTCACTACCATACCCGTTATCTCCACAGTGTCATAATACCCCGGGAGGGATGTTATCCTGATCACTATTATAAACAAGCATGTTGGACATTCGAGGATGTTGGAACTTTTTTATTTGGGTTACGATGCAAGGTGATCTGAATCTGGTATGACTGAGTAGTGATGGATAATATTTCCTATCGTAAGTTCTCCTAGTTATAAATACAATGACCGCCACTAAATACGCCCCAGAGTCGGAAATCAGTCCTCATCACTGATACGCAATGTTGTCAGCAGAGCACGCATGCCACCCATCCTTAACAGAGCAGCCATCCAGATCGCTTGTTTGATTCCCAAAGCACGTCCAATGTATTCGAACCTGTTGATTGCCCAGTCCCGCAACGAGGTCGGGGCATACGGCAGATCTCCGGCAAGACACAACGGCCAAAGTAAAACATATCCACCAAGTGCTCTGCCGCTTCTTCCAATATCTGCACCGTCTTGTCTTTTCATTTCGATGCTTCCTAGATCATAGGGCACGCTGGCACATATGTCAATCGCTGCCTGTAACGCGCCTGCTCGACTCTGCTCGATTAGAAGAGATAAGTTGTCGTATTGAGCATACAGAAGTGATGAAGGAGAAAGCTTGGCAGCAGCCTCTTCAATAATTTCCGTTACAAGGATACGCGCGCCGCGTATAGCGTTATATATGTTAGGGACAAAGTAATCTGTGTAGGTGTGGTAATATTTTCCATAGACTTCGTCTGCCGGCGACGGTGGCATCTCTCGATCGATAACAGCAAGTGTTTTGTAAGGGTAGAATTCCCAAAGCTCATTGTAAAGAGCAGTAAAGTCTTTTTCCTGAGCGAAGGCTTGGGGTATAATATCTTCCGGCAAGACTAGGCTGCGGTCTTCAATTTCGGCGCGTAAATTGCATAGTTTGACCAACAGTGTTGTCACATCTTCAAGGAGACCTTCAGATTTTGGTAGGCAGCCTTGCTGCTCCCGTGGTACACCTTGAAGAAATGGGGGTGCTCGCGACGAAGTCAATAGGCAGCTGGAAAGCTATAGTGTGTAATCTATTAGCGAGGAGTGTTCTTTAGTCAGGCAACTACAGAGAATATGGACATACAATTTGGCCACGAGCCTGTACAAACATCCGAAAATTGATAATGTCTTCTGGACCTGGCTTGGAATTTATTTTTAGCAGAGCAAGGGCTCCCTCATGATGACTTCTCCAGCTGCTGAGGGATCGATTACTTCGACATGTAACGACCTACTAATGGTTAGCTCTACTCTCGTAGACTGTGATGTGTTTTGGAGAGGGAGATACCTCAAACATGCCCAGCAACATGACTGTATCAAGGGCTGCTGGCTGCCTTGCCTTGGCAGGGTCTCGCAACATGGCATTCGTCAAAGAAAGCGCATGGCCATATTGCTCTCGCGCTGCAATACGCAGATCTGCGGAGTAATTTATGTTTGCTAGCGTTGCCATCCCGACAGAGGCCATACATGCAAGTACTGCATCTGACGTCGTAGATTGAAGGCTATGTAGATATCCAACTCGTCCGGAAGTTGGAATGCAAGGTACAACGTAGTTATGCAGAAAGAAGCAGATGGCCTGCTGATTCAGACTGATGGAGAGACTTCGTGAGACCTCCTCTGGGGTATTTGACGAGGCTAGGGTAATTAATTTGGTCGATGCAATACTGTTAGTTAAGTTTGTAGAAGTACTCGGGCTGGCATTTTTGCTGTTTCTTTGCTTGGAAGTCTTCGTGGATGCTTTATGTGCCGTCTTACGGGTCTCGTCACGAAACATCAGATCCAGCTGGTTTCGATATCCGGTGCATGTCCGGCCGCCCTTTGAGCATTGAAAGCATGATGGTTCGGTTTGGTCACACTAAAATGGATTAGAACATTTTCATCTCTTTTCTGATGGGAGAGATCCTCGATCATTAGGCTAGGCAGCCGAGTAATTATGGAGGAGTACCTTGATTTTGCGGCGTCGGCATTCATTGCAGCCCTTGCTTGGTTTCCCACAATATACCATTTTTATTAGTATATGCTTTGTGTCCTCGTATGGCCATAGAGAGTGAGAGGGTGTCAAAATATCGAACTAGTTGACGTTTTCAAGTCGAATGTTATGCGGGGGATGATCAAGTTTATAACCCCCGTTTAACTAACTAGTTAATTAACTAGCTAGTTAGTTATCGCCCTCCATAGGGGGAAAAACTTTGTCTCAGGCTGAAAAGCTTAGGTTGAACAACATATCAAGCTGCAGGGCAACTGGTCCTCTTGCTGAGAGGTCCAGCTTTGCACAGAATCAAGCAGGAGGCTGATGTCTCGTATTCGGCGACTCATCCTGGAAATTGTTTGATGCGAAGTTCAGCTGCACGATTTAAGGTTCCGGTGTTGCTGCGCCATGGCGGCTAGTTAGCGGGCTGATTATATAAGCATATTTAACCTAACAGCAAGTTGATAGGGGATGAGACATGAGACAGTAGATAGACAGGAGGCTTTGGAGAAAAAGGATGAATTTGAAGATCTAACCAGCGAGGTTATGCTATCTTGTTCCAGCAACCACCAAGTACGACAGTTTATCAGAAGGAATGAGTTTTCGAAAAAAAGAGAAATCTAGGGTAATCCAAACAGCGGCTGTTGCCAGCCGATGTACCAACTATCTGGAATGCGATTCGTCGGGGGAAGTCATTGGTAACCCATCCTCGCAGCCCTTGGCCTCATGCTCTTGTTCGTATGCTGGAATAAATTCAGGGGCATCACCACGGAGTCTGGAGGGTTCATTGGCACGGGGTGACTGGTCAGGTTCATTTTCGTGATGGGCATTCTGTGATCGATTCCATCCCCAGGCTCCTGTCTCATGGGTACCAGGCTGTGTAATGTTATTAGCTAAGTTTCCAACCGCATAAACTCGAAAGGATATAACACACGCTTGGGGTCCAACTGCTATTCACAGAGGGAGGAATGGAGCCTGGACAGCTATAAGATGGATAAACCCCCGGCATTGGTGACCAATACGCGTGGTTAAAACTGGCCATTTCACGCGCTGACGCGTAAATTACTCTATTCGGAGTACCGAGCCATTGTGGGTGGCTATGGTTGATCATAGGATATTCAGTCATTTGATAATAAGGCAGTGGGTTCCAAGCAGGGTCGTAGTAGTTAGGGTACCAAACAAGACCAGCTATGACATTTGGATCAGGATTACTATCGATATCTCCCGGGGCAGTGTTTGGCGTGCTATCACTAGATAATTTATCCTGCTATAATAAGTATCGTTAGCTTATATATCAAGGCAAGGATGGCAGGAAGCTTACCTTTAGCTTATTAAACTTCTTCTGCTTTCGCTCTATAAACCCTTCTGCATTTTTCTGCTTTCTGCTTAACTTTGATTTACCCGTCATAGCGACAGATAACTGTGAAGCAAAGCAGGAATAATAGGAAAGCCACCTCTAAAAGGGGATAAGGAGATATATGTGTGAAATTGGAAGAGAGCACAGTTAGTGGCTAATGACGCGGCGATGCAGCTTCAGACAGAGCTTGAAGTATATAGGTAAAATTATAGATATAGTGCCTGAAGCTGGATAGGACTAACAGTTCACCTGTGGCTCACGTGGCATAAGTCCTGTGGTATGTCATATGTCCTTCCACTAGTAGGGATAGCTGTAGTGGACCATGCAAATAGGAAGACTCTGGAAAGACTTTCCTCTTTGTACCAGCACAAAGATTATGTCATAGGTATTATAGAGAATCCGTAGTTTATGAATAAGCCAAAAACGGTACTTCAGCGAGACATAAAGAGTCCGGTTCCTAGGTGGTTTTGTCCGGCCGGATGACAGATGTCGAGGATACAAGAAGCGCTCATGAAAATTTCGCTACCTCTCCCGGTTGACATGGTAAACAGAGCCTTAGGAGCAACCTGTCATCCAAAAATAAAACCATTATAGATAACAGGCAGCAATACTAAGCCAACAGCCTTGTATTACGCCAACTGACCTACTCGTTGCTCCTTTTCGTGCTGCGTGTGAAGGACGGGCGAAAGAATTTGATAGTGCCAAGCCTTTGTGCTTCTGGCAAGGAAGGTGAAAATAAGCATAGAAGTTACATTATTATGTAAGATGGTCTCGATGTCTCATTGGCTACACATGATTCTTGGCGTGGGTAGAGCCGCAAACCATGAGATATCGAAGTGTAAATCGCATGGTAACAAGTTGATTCAACGACTGACTAAGGGTGAGAGAATCCCACGCATTTGGGTTATATATATGTGTGTGTGAGCGCACGACGAAAGCAAATTCTATAACGGGGGAAATTGGTCATCAAGGCATCAGGGGAAGTCGTACATTAGGGCATACATGGCAACGCACTGGCAAGTGGAAAAGCACAGGGGAAAATAAACAAAATAGCAAATAACAAATGAGATCTATTCAACGAGTGACTGGGGTCAAAGAAAGCAAATAACGGAGCAGAAAACATCAGAGTGGGACAAATGAAATATCCAAACGAGTGACTTGGGCCAGAAGTAATAGAACAACAATTGATGGTAAACCAATCGGACGGCAGATGTTTCAAGGCGCGGCGCGGATGCATTCCCTACCAGCCAATACCCTCTGTGCATATCGGCGAAGGTTTGCATTGTATATGTTGAATATATGTTTTGGCTGATGGGTACAGGAGCATGGTAATTATGGCCCGCGATCCTATCTTGCGTTCCTTAACAATATTTCACGAGCCTGTGGAAGTAGGTTAGTTTTATCGCTGTTTATCCCAACAGATTGCGTTGCGATCGTGGGGAACTTACTTCACAAGCTTTAAAAACGGCGGAGCCCGGTCCCGCATTTTTCACAAGTCTTTGCATACTTGGGGTTGTCAAACTTGCAGTTGGGGTTGGGGCAGGTATTAGGCATGGTGAATGTTGGATTTGGGAGTGTTTAAATTGTTCGATTGAAGGTATAAAACTTGGCTGCTAAATGCAACGGTGACAGGCTGTAGTGGGCTTGCAGTGGGATCGATGCTGGCTGATAATTGACTTGGTCTGAGTGATGATAAGAAGGAGAATAAACTACAAGATCTAGCTCGCCTTATATATTGATGAAAAGAATATTCCTCATGCAATATTTTGTTTCCTCGAACCTCACCATGGCGTTGCTGCCTGCTATAGTCGAGGCACATGATGGTATAAGCCTCCCTGGGAAGTGCCTTGGAGTTTTGGGATGTATAGCCATTGCATGAATTTTCAATAGATATGGAATAATTTGTAGAAAATACTGTTCATGTAGTTAGCAGATTGGGGTATCAGTTGGTAGGGTTAAGGTGCGGCTCGCCCCGCTGGAGATACCGCTCTCGAAGTGAGGCTACAGGAAATAGTAATGCATAGGCCACGGAGGTGGGTATATGGCATTTGTATATTTGTCATATGGGAATGGGATTGGTCTGGTTTCCGGCGGAATACCAACGAGAATGTTCCGGAGGCTTAGAGCCGGGGAGCATGACCAAAGGATAATTTTTTTTCATGCATTGGTATACCAACACGCTAGACAGGGTAACTATGATACAAATCAATGATATCATATCAGGCTTGGAAGGTGACGTTGTTCTCGCTTTTGCCGGGGTCTAGCTTTGTTGGATGCCTTTGTATTCTAGGTATCGGGAAATCGGCATTTCTGAATAGGGGAAACTCACTAAGGGCAGCGAATCAGCAATTAGTGGAGGGAGAGTGGTTCTACGGTTGGACTGTAGACCGTCGATCTGACTTTACCCAGAGTTATCTTTTTGTAGAGACCCTTGCACGAAGAGACTGGCCGTAAAAAGGTGCCAGGGTGCTTGCATTAGCGTTGCCTTGGCCCGGGGTTGATTGGCAAGGAGGAAAAGTTTTCGTTAACGCCGCACGACCCCTCTCTACACGTCAGCGGCGTATCGTCCTGTTTACTGAGGTTAACCAATAGACATCAGATTTAAGATGTTGGTTTTTGAGGCTCAACAACAGGGGTTCTCTGTAGGTGGTGCATATTGCGGCACAGCGACTCTATAAAGCGGGCTGATGTTTTCCTGCCAGGCAGCAACACAACCATCATCGATCTATTACTCACATATCCATCAAGATACTCTAGTTAGTGTTTTCACACCCATTCATCCACGTCCACCATGGCCCAGGTTGATACCACCGTTGATACTACCAAAGAAGACCCCACGCCGTGCCCAACATGTGGGTGGTCTGATTTACGGCGAAGCAGATGCAGCCACATAAGTCAGGTCAAGCTCGTCAATGCCATAAGCAACCGAGCTTGGTGGCATATCGGCAGTGACATGGTTCTGAAAGAGGATCCGTACGACAAGTGGAAGACGTCGGAAGTTGCCAATCTCAAGTTCATTCAGGAGAAGACCACAATTCCTGTTCCGACGATTGTGAAAGACTGGGTGCAGAGTGACAACCGCCATTTTCTTCTCATGGAGCGCATGCCGGGAGAAACTCTGGATACACTGTACCAGAAACTATCCACTGCGGAGTTGGAGGCTATTGCTGACCAAGTGGCGGAGCTTATCCAGCAGCTTAGGCCACTGCAGTCCCCTCAAATTGGTGGCATCGGAGGCACACCACTACACAATGGCTGGATTTTCGTTAACAATATGGAGCCAGCTGGCCCATTTTCTTCAGACGACGAGCTTTGGGACTGCATGAAAAACGGCTTAGCCAAAGTCCCAGCAAAAGCCGTGGAAAATCTTCGAAAGCGCATGCCAGCCTGCAAGCCATATACGTGGACACATGATGACCTGAGCTCATCGAATATCGTGGTCAAGGAC